CTTCAAAGCAGTTGAAACTCTTGTTCAATGGTACACCTCCATGAGCAAAATCAGTGACTCCTTCAGCTATAGCAAATGTCCAAGTGCCGGTATCGTCGGTACATACTTAAGTGAAATTTGGAATTCGTTGCCAAGAAAATGAATTGTTATTACTTACTATTGGCAGTGGCGATTGCGAATAGCGCCAATAATAAAAGTTTCTTTATCATCTAAATATGTTATAGTAGAAAAAAAGTATCAACACTTCAAAAGCAAAAATTACAAGCAGTGGCGATTTGATTTCTCATTAATAAAAAGTAAATATCACGCAAATGAGTGTTGTATAGGCAACTTATCGGGAAACACTCTTTTATCTCTTTTATCAACACTGACCAACATTCTGCTTCTCATCGCTACGCCTGGCGAAGCTTAAAAGATTTAGTGCCGCAAGATAAGGTACTATGAGTTCAAAGATGTAGGAAGAGTTTAGGAACTGCTTGAGCAATATACACCTTTGCGTAATTGAGTTAAGTGCGCTTAGTAATATCAAAGCTCCAGGAATAGAGTACTTTCCAAGAGCAGTGTTTCTCGACAAAAAAAAAAACTAAATATCTCAACTCTTTTGTTGCTCGTTCTCAATCGTTTTAACCATTCTGTTTTAGCCATTAAGATCTTTCGCAGGATGATTTTCCAAACCTGAGTACTTTAAAAACGATTCCTTTCCTAAAAAATATATATGTGCATACATAATCACCAAAATTAGATTTGAAATGGTGGAAAATTCAAGTCACACGCGAGATTGAAATCAACCTTAAAATTTTGCTCTAAACTTTGTATAGAAACTGTAGAATTGGCAACATCTTAATTACAAATTACCCAGCCATTAGGCCGAGAAAGGATAAGATGCGTTGCCCAAAGGCAAGGAATGGTGGTTTAGAAATGCGATCGACTAGCAGATTACATAAGTGGAAGATCTGACCATTGTCTCATTCATTGCCATAAAAAAAAGAGGATTAGGATGCTTACGTTTGTTCGGGCTGTACTCCCAGCGATTTAGGGGGGAAAGATACTTGGTCGAAGCAGGGACTCAAAAGTTAGACATACCGCATGGAGTTTGAGACGTCATTTAACAATATGTATCTCTTTCTAATCG